GAATTATCTCAAAGTATGCAGTAGTAAAAGATTTCAATGGCACATTTTAATTGGTATCATTCTTCATATTTACAACAATAATAAATCATGCATATTCTGTGAGAGACAGAGAAAGCGCACACCAGGAAACTATGTAATTTAGACCATCTGGCAGCCTATATGTGTGATCTGTGATCTGTAGCTGATATTAAGATGTACTGTAGATGTGTCTTTTGTACGCTCCCCGGAACATTGTGCTTTAGATTTGTTCCATTCGCCCAAAAAAATGCGGAGGACAAGCGGCAAGCCGGTAATGTCAAGATGATGTGCGAACGACAAAACAGTTGCATGTACAGATAACATGAGTCCGCTGACAGTGTGTGCGAGTGTTTTCGTCTCAGTCAGTGGCTCTGATCTACTTCCTTTGCTCTCTCGCTCTGACAGGTTGAGATAGAAGGAGAGAGCTGTCCTCTTTTCTGACATCAGTGCTCTTATACTGAGCTCATTTGTTCAGTGGGATGTCAGCAATTGCAGTTGAGAGACTTAATGAGAAGCAAGGTACAGAGCAGAAACAGAGAGAAGGAATCTTTCATTCTTCAAGCATTCCCAAAAGACAAACTGCTAAAAACGTGCATTGAATAAGCCACAGTTATTGAGTATGTGAGCAGTGTGGAAGAGGAGAGAAGTTGTTTAATTGTGGCTATTTTTATGGAACAAAATAAACCATTACATAGACAGACCAATAACTGGATTAATAATAATAATAATAATAATAATAATAATAATGATTATTATTTCAAGTTATTTAATAAAAAATATATATATTTCTAATTATTTTTTTCTGATCACAATTATTTGTGTCAGTCAGAAATATTATTTCTGATAATATTTATTTTATTTAAAAAAAAAACAATTATTAAGGCTATATCATTTTTAAATATTTTTTTGATGATCACAGTGCATGGAAATCTGAGAATAAAACTATATTTTAAAGTTTGTTCTGCATATCAGTTATCGGATACTTGCATAAACAAAAATAACCTATATCGGTATTGTTAATAAAAAGGCAATATCAGTTGATCTCTGCTAGTATGGAGCGAACCATAATAAAAATAATAGTAAATAGTAATAGTAAAAATAATACTTATACATTTAAAACATTTTTACATATTTAAACACATTTCTTTTTGTTCTACAGATTTTTTTCTACAGTTCCTAATGTGTGAAAATCAGAATAATTTAAAATTGGTTCGGCATATTGGTTATGGTATATTTACATAAACATAAAAATAGCCTGACTGTACTGTATTGTTGATAAAAGGGCAATATTGTTCATTCCAGAATGCTTTGAGCGAATAGGGGGAAAGTTGCTCTCTATAATCTATAAAAGATTTTACCGCAATGGCTACACCTCAGATAAATTCACCATGGCATATTTAAAGCATCTGATCCTATTAGAGACCATAAAAAGAATTATCTAGTCTATACACGGCACTTTAACACAGTATACACATCTGGGAAACGAGGCAGATTTAATTCCACCATTGTTACACTAGAAGCGTGTCCCTCCATACACATGATCACACAACTTAAACTGCACATAAGCTACAGTGCAAATTGATGCCTGGTGTGCAAGAACATGAATATTTCATGGGCTGTATGAAAAAACACATTTACATTAATAATTAGCAGCAGCCTTTAACCTTTTCCAGAGAACAGAGCACTATATTTTGAGTAATGAAGAGGTGTGAGAGGAATCAACACAACACTTATCAATAGCAGTGCCTGTGGCAAACATCTCTTTGATTTAAGGACATCTGATTATTCGCTATCAGACAGACATCATGGCTCTGCTACTCAGCTAGTGGAAGGGTTTGAATCTCCAGAGACGTGGCAGTAATGGAGAAGAAAGTGGATAAACAAAAGCTGTAGTCTATGTAACTCAGTGTAATGTCAAAGGTTCATGTCGAGAGAGAGAGATAAAACATTTTTTTTACAGATATAAAAAATTACAGAAAGCTGCTGTCACTCCAATCCACTCACATACTGTGTCCAGTCCGTGCTTTACTTGGCAGGCAGCAGACAAAGCTGGATGCCACTATTCTTGTTGGCAGATAAAAAGCACACAAACTAACTGGTCACGTTTTGTCTGAATGTAAATGACAATGTAAAGTGTGAGATATTACTTAATTTTGAGTAGCTGTTAAAAGCCAACATTCCTAGATCTTTAACATACTGATCTCCTAGGATTTCTCAGTCCCAATATATTCTGCAACAATGCCATCTTCATTGCAGGAGAGGCAGCCTGTGGTTTTGCTACTACCCCGTATATTAGATGACAGTTGCTGTTATACTAACACTTTGCACAGCATCTGGTAGATTTCACATTACCACTACTACTGCGATGACAATGTCTGTCTCCATCTCATCGACTCAAATACACACATTCATACACAAACACATCCAGTGCAACAAGGAAAACATTTACAGGCCTTATGAAGAGCTGCTTTGTTGTTTTTGTTTGAGTGTTTGAGTGTCACCTTATTGATTTCCTAGTTCTGTCATGAAACTCTAGATGGCGCAGGCTGATAGGTCTAACTCATTTAGTAGCGAATAGCGATCACGTAATTATCTACATTGCACAGCTGATTGGTTGTTGCATCAGCGGCAATTGAGCTCCGCCTCAACATTCAAACAAATACCAGTAGTGCTGCTGTTAGCAGTCTGCAGCGCGCTTTCAGAAACCCTCCACCTTCCCCAGCTCCACCTGTATAGATCTGCTATGGGGTTATTTCATGTCTTACATGTGCAGCAGCAGCAGCAGGATGTCTTATATGCACACAGCATTGACTGTATGTATTGGCAGTAGAAGTCTCTGTACTTGCTCTGCAGCAGCAGCAGTGTAGCAGATCTATTCTGCCAAGACCAAATACATTAACATTGCCATATGCATTGCCAATCTCTATTACAATACCAATCTCCCGAGAGTTGTCATGACAGAATTATGTACAGTATATTAGTTTGTAACATGCAACTTGTGCTTCTTGCGACAGTATGTTTGTTTTTCTTATTAAACAAAACAACAACAGCCTTGGATATTAAAAAACATCCTCTTTCTCTCATTTTACTTTCCATTCAATGATGATTTTCAAACAAAAGACCCCTCAAAAATTATCCCTTCATTAGGGACCCCCTTCCTAAATGACAGATAACAGATAACAGATATATGTAATGACAGATATATATTAATGTACGGTAGAAAGACACATTTTAACTGCGTAAGAAAAACATTATTAAGTGTGATATTATTAAAGACAACATATTTCTAAAATTAAAAAAAATATATAAAATATAAAATAATTTATATTGTTTTTGAACTAAAGCCAAAAATACTGATTAAATAAAATTATATATATCATTTGTATTAAGTTATTATTGTCACGGGCTGTGTAGCATAAATCCAGAGAAGGTGTGTGACGCAGTATTCTGTATTCAGGCCCCCAAAACGCCGCAGGCATGTAAATGAATGGCCAAAACGCATAAACAGTTTTCAGTATTTAGTAAAAAATGGTGTCATGTAAATGGCCCCAGACACAAAGAATAATCAACATAACAAGGAACAGGTGCAAAACTAATTAGAAACCATGGTAACAAGTGAACGAAAACTCCGACAGAACATGACAATTTTGTGCATCGTTTAACTACTCACTAAAATAATAAAATAAAAAAAACGTTTCTTACCATTAAAAACTAAGGCTGTCAATAGAATAATAGATTAATCTCATAATCTCTAACAAGTTTTTAGAAAGAATGAAACCGTAAAAATATAAAATTCGGTATTGCATTAAACAGATTAAATAATATCTCAAACACATTAACTTTGAAAGGTGTAAAAATACAGAGAGTAACTACCCTTTGCATCCCCATCAACATACATCTACACAGTCTAAAAACTTTACATTATGCTCAGGTAAGAATCTTATGCCTGAAGATGCAAAAACACAAGCAGAGCATTGCTGCGTTTGCAAAAGAAAGGAGAATTCAAAGAGAAAATTGTGTAATTGTGAGTGGCTTTGGTAAGAAATCACCTGTCGAGAACAGAAATGCAAATGTAGGGGTAGTGATGAATCACAGGGTGTAATAATTTGCTTTTGCGAAATCAATGAAGGTTTGTTTGCAATCAGCCAGCCACATTAAAACACAAGTGTTTAAGAGTGTCTTGGATCCCAGAATCCATCGCTGTAAAGCTTACACGCACACAGACGAAACAAACACTAATAACTGTACCCCAAATGGGCCATATATTTTTAAAGAGTAAACTCAGTTTGTTTTGGGACAGATTATTTTTACAACTATCACTCATCCAGGTATTTAAGAACCCTAACCTGCAGTATTAACAAGGACCTTAGTAACATCAATTACATTCTCCAGCGTGCCGGTGGGAAGTTTAAAATACAAGGAGGAGGGAGGAATACGCTCAAAGATTGATACAAGACGAGCTGGAGGGGGGGAAAAAACAGAAAGAGACTGGGTTTTAATCTCTTCGATAAATCAGATTACACTCTCGGTTAGAAACGGAAAGGAAGAGAGAGGCACATATTTGTGATGGCCACAGCTCAGTAATCTGCAGCCCTGTCTAACTGAGCACCAGCTTGCTAATGAGAAGAAAACCACAAACAGAATATGCAAGCCAAGCTTTGAAACGAGCGGTTATATTTAGACGAGTAGGAGAGACTGCATTAACATGCTCACACTCCCCTCTCAATATCTATTCCTCATCTGAGGAGGGATTTACTGTACTATTCTTATAGGAGATGGTTTTCTCTTTATAGACCCCCAAAGACACATCTGATACAAGCTATGATTTGGGAGCAGAGCTAAAGCAGCAATGCTTTAATAAAAATGTGCATGTTTTCAAAAATCTGAATGTATGTTTTTGGACCATGTATTGGCAAAAACGTAGAAGGAGAGATACACTGAGGCAGAGACACACTTTAGTCAGTTTTGGGCACATTACTAACCTTCTTGGTGAAGTCCATGGCTTTGAGAATCGCCAGGTTGAGTGTCTCTAGGGAGGCCAGCACACCTTCATAATCTCCCATGTGGTTGGCAAAGTAGTCTGATGAACAGAGAGAGATGAGGCAGAACTGAATTATGAAATATTTTCTCCATGGGAGACTGAAAACATGGAAGCAAAAACAAAATTGCCTCCAAAACAAAATTGGCCAAAATATTACAAAACAGAAATTGAGCACAATCCATTGACTTATGTTGTAACTGACACTAGGTTGAATGACTAGACTAATATTGCTTGGTGGTCCATACATTATTAATCAATAAATATACTACACAACTGTATTCAAATAAAAATGCTTGTTTGCAAAGCATATTCAATTCGTTGTCACTAACACAAACTGACAGTTTATTTTCTGATACTCACCACATAGTTCCTTGGTGTCGACATTACTAACACATCACAGGAAATGGGTAGCATACAGAAAGACAGAACAGAAGAGGGAGGAAAGGAAAGGGATAAGAAACAGAGGGGAAAATCCAGCGTAAATCACACATTATATTATGTCCTACATCAGAGGGCAAAAAGAAACTCACTAAACTATCTATATATTTACATGGATACTCAATACAATACAAAAAACTTAAGCATATGTTATTTTTGAAACAAGATCCTCAGCAGACCTTAAAGTTACCAGCTTCAACAGAATGAAATATGAACTGATGAATGGACAGAAGCAAAAATTGAATATAATGTTTATCTGTTTGATATTAGATTTAATGTTTTAAGTAATTTGTGTATAACTCAAGTGTTATACAAAATATAATACACTAGTTGGTTATGTATTTTGTTCTATTGCCAGTAGTTACCATCTATCATATCTAAATAAAAAAATCAAATTAAAAAAACAATCAAATGAGGTAAAGTATCTAACATTTCAAAGTATTTAATTGACTGAATTTTTTTATTCATATAAAAATTACTCTGCTGCGATATACAATGCTACAAAAACTACTCATACTGGCAAAAGAAACAAGCTATAGAAAACCATTATTTTACTGATTCCTGTTGCCATTTCGGGGATTCATCCCATCTCCTAGGATGCTCTTGCACTTCTAATCGCTCAATTCTTTATACTTTCCCTCACTTGTTAAAATGGAGATGGCATCAGTATAAGGATGCATAAAAAAAAGATATACAGTATGACATTTACAAGTGTAGGGTGGGCACTGAGAGTTAACATGGGAAACAATCTTCTCTCCTTTCACTGGTACTGAGCTCTCGACGCCTTGCCTGTCAAACAGGCTACACTGTCAGTTTTTGAGATTGACAACCGCATTTACTGGTGTAAAAGTCTCAAAATGTCCTGATCACATAGCAACTTACAGCAGGGTCTTGAATACTGTCTGTATGAACATGCATTTGTGCAACGGGAGTCAAGCCTGTATTCTCTTACCAGTAATCATAGCGACAGTGACCAAAGTAATATAAAAAATGGCGACATCCATAAAACTGAAAAGTCGTATCACTTTTAACATGACAAGAGTCCAATCGAGCCACCAGTTAATCAGTCAAATCTTCATTAAATGACAGCATTTGAGTTGCATTGAGAACACAAAACTGATGGGAGCAGCTCCGGTGTAAAGGTGGACAGTGATTGGATCTGGAACCTTTAGATGAAACACACAGGTCATATCTCGCTGTAAGTTACAGAAACCACACACAAAAACCTGCAACACACGGTAGACACGCATTTGTTCATCGAAGAGCGGCTCTTCTACAAATAACCGTAGTGTGTGTGAACAACACACACAAACGTATTAAGACTCAAATACAGGACTGACAACTGTATCCTGCTGCTATGTGATCATAAGAGTACCAAATCAGCAGAGGACAGAAGAGATGAGAAGACTCTGCTTTGTATAATACTAAGTGAACATTATAAGCCTTATTCTCTGTTAGTGGCCTGTCTACTTTATACCCATTAGCACTGTGCTAGATAAGCTATATAGTGATCATCTTCATTAGTGTTATTATTTTCTGTCCAGTATGTGGATGGATGGATGGAGTCAACATGAAATTGAGCCTATTTCCTTTATTAATGCATGTTCCAGGTCTCAGTGTGAATGGTTCAGCTGTGCGTGTTATTAAAAATAATAAAATGTCTTTGTAATATTTAATCAAAATATAATCACTGGTTCTTCCCCTCAAACGACTTTCCTGACGACACTTAGGCTGCCAGGGCTACTAAATCATGTTAACCAATAGCTATTAAAGCACTGTTTTAGCAAACTTGCATTCAGTCCGGATCTATTCTGGTATGTAATGCCCACTTTTCACAATCCAAATGATTCTCAATAAATAAAATTCTGAAAATATGCAAATGTGTGAAATTAAAGAAGTAAAATGATTTGCAAACAGACATTGGCATTGACTTTTTTGACCAATGAGATTTCATAATGGGAGGAGCTAACCATGACACCACACAAATAACTAAATGTCAAATAAAAAAACATTTACACAGTTGTTCATGGTTAGAGCCCTGTAAAAAATGATGAATATCTGCTCGATATTTAGATAAATAGAGGACAAAAGAAGCAAAAGGATGTATGTTTCATTTCAAATCTACAACATGAGTGTAAATGAGAAACAAGCACAAAGAGGCGACATGCATTACACTCTCAATTTTCTTTCTTCCATTTGAGCTTCATCCACCACAGTCTCTCTCAGCACCCCCCACCCCAGTGTCTTTCCCAACCCTCCCCCATCTCATCATCTAGCCGTCTTGTCTCAGAGTCCATCCCCTTCTCTGCACCAGTCCTTATGGGCTCTGGTGGTTCATTATTTAGAGAGAAGGCTGTGTTGGACCTGAGAGCAGCGAACGCATCCCAGCAGCTGCAGACGTCTCCTCATTTTTTACATAATTCATTCTGAAATGTGATTAAAGACAACACACACACACACACACACACACACACACACACACACACACTGGAGCTGCTCTGCCTCCAGAGACCAACTCACACACCTATACACACAAACACTGAGAAATAGGGTGTGTGAAAGGGAGAGAAAAGAAAGAGAGAGAAATGGCAGCAGATAGATGAGACAGATGTACTCACAATGACAGAACAGACAGACACTTTCCAAACACAAAACTTTGAGACAGAGAGAGAGAGAGAGAGAGAGAGAGAGAGAGAGAGAAAGAGAGAGAGAGAGAGAGAGAGAGAGAGAGAGAGAGAGAGAGAGAGAGAGAGAGAGAGAGAGAGAGAGAGAGTAAAGCAATGTTCGGTGCCCACAGAAGCAAATGTATAAGCTGTTCTGAAAGGTCTAAGGGTTTTCCCCTTTTCTTGCTGTCCATTAACCATCATTATATCCATCAAAATGAAATCTGCCTCATTTTTCTGCCTGGTTCCTGAGAAACCATTAACTATAATAAGAGGTTAAATTTGGAAACAAGATTTGACGACCATGGTACATAGAAGACATCTACCCTACAACTTCCAAAGATTGTACAGCAGTTTCTCCAAATACGGATAATTTTGTCCCAGCAAGTGAATTTTATTACATAGAACCAGACTTTTAATCTTAAAATGTTAAAAATCCATAATAAAATTATTACCATTAACAATTTTTTTGCCAGCCATATTTATTTGTGTAATTTCCAGACAAGCTGTATTTTTGCTAAATGTGTACAAATATGAATCTATTGATTACTTTAAAGCAATAGTTCACTCAAAAATGAAAATTATCCCATTATTTACTCACCTTCAAGCCATCCTAGATCGTTATTTAATACAATCAGAGTTGTGTTGTGTCTTCTATTGTGACTGAGATCTGTTCACTGAATGTGTATTGAGAGTTGTGTGTGTCTGTAATCACCTGGTGTTATCAGAGTCAATGGTGTGAAACAGTTTTTCCAACTCCTCTTCATTCAGAGTCCCATCAGAGAAGAAAGCCTGGAACTCATCAAGGGAGAGTTTTCCATCATCTGCAGGGGGAAGAGAAGAGATTTTAGCTGCACGCCTCATTCATTTTTAACACACCAGACAGAACTGTGTATCAGCACCATGGGTATTTTTGTAACTACATCTTAACAGGTAGAACAGGCTGCTGTTAGTCACAGCATCACAAGTACAATCTGAATAATTTTTTTATGTCTAAAATCAAAATACACCTATATATGAGTTCCATACACTCATATGTCTCTCATTCACTAACATGTGAACGAAACATTTTTATTAATAGCCCAGTGTGCAAAGAAAATGCTCTCACATAAAATTGATGGATTTAAGTGTGTACGCACATTAATTTTTTCTTAATCCTCGTTCTTATGTTAATAATGTTCTTAATGAGGAAATGAGAGCCCACAGTTAGTAATTAACATGATACATGCCCAAACCATCTCCACCTAAGGTTTTTTTTTGCACAATTTCTTTATACATGTAGCTATTTGTCACTCTTTGCAGATGAATGCTTATGCTCTCTATAGACGCACATCAAGATGAGTAAGCCTAGTGTGCCATTCTTTATGCAGAACTTGATACATAATTGTAATAAGTAATTTAATTTTTACTACTCTGAACATAATGTATTTGGTTATTCAATTTCTAATACATACTGTACATACATATACACTATATGGACAAAAGTATTGGGACTCCTGACCATTACACCAACAGGGACTGTAATGAAATAGCATTCTAAAAAACAAACTGCTCAACTGTTCCCACAAAGCTGAAAACACAGCCTTGTCCAAAATGTCTTGGTATGCTGAAGCATTAAGATTTCCCTTCACTGGAAGTAAGGGACCTAGCTCAACCCCTAAAAAACAGCTCCATACCATTATCCCTCCTCCACCAAACTTTACAGTTTGGCACAATGTAGTCAGGCAGGTAAAGTTCTCCTGGAATCTGCCAAACCCAGACTCGCCCATCAGACTGCCAAACAGAGAAGTGTGATGTCTCGGCCAAGGAAACCCATTCCATGAAGCTCCCGCCGCACAGTTTTTTGTGCTGATTTCAATGCCAGTGGAAGTCTGAAACTCTTCAGCTATAGAATAAGCAGAGTGTTGGTGACCATTACACACTTGGTGACCCTGCTCTGTGACTTTATGTGGTCTTCTGCTTCGTGGCTGAGTTTCTGCTGTTCCTAAACGCTTACACTTTCCAATAATACCACTTACAGTTGAGCAAGGAATATCTAGCAGGGATGAAATTTCACAAACTGACTAATTGCAAAAGTGGCATTCTATCACAGTAGCTGCTACCATGCTTGCATTCACTGAGCTCTTCAGAGCGACTCATTTTTTTACAGACTGCATGGCTAGGTGCTTGATTTTATACATCTGTGTCAATGAGTCTGATTGAAACACCTGAATACAGTAATTAAGAGGTGTCCCAATACTTTTGTCCATATAGTGTATATACACACTCTACCGTTCAAAAGTTCGGTGTTGGTAAGATTTAATGTTTTTGAAAGAAATCTCTTACGCTCACCATAGTATTTATTTGATCAATAATACAGTAAAAACAGTAATATTATGAAATATTATTGCAATTTAAAATAACGTTTCTATTTGAATACATTTTAAAATATAATTTTATTCCTGTGATGGAAAATATGAATTTTCAGCATCATTACTCTAGCCTTCAGTGTCACATGATCCTTCAGAAATCATTCTAATATCCTGATTTGCTGCTCAAGAAACAATTCTTCTTATTGTCAATGGTGATAACAATTGTGGTTGTGGTGCTTAATATTTTTGTGGAAACCATAATACATTTTTCAGTTTTTCCTGATAAATTCAGAGTTCAAAAGAACAACCTAATAGAAATAGAAGTTTTTACAGCCACTTTTGATCAATTTAATGTGTCCCTTAATTTCTTATGTATAAATTCTTACTGACTTTAATATATAGATCCTCATGGTAACTGTATAGATGTGTATGGACATTTTTTCAAGCATCACCAGTAAAGAGAGATAGAAGGCTACTAGAAGAATATTGTATTGACTTCCTCTGTGGGGAAGGGTGGTGAGAAAAGGGAAGGGAAGGGAAGGGAAGGGAAGGGGGGGTGTTACAAATAGGAGTCTCAAATGCAGTCAATGCCGGCTGAAATTAAATATTCATCACCCTGGATTTGTCCTTGAAGAAATAACTGCACTTATTGGACAAACTGAAGCCGAAATACAATACGAAAGTAGGTGCAGCCAATTACTATTTCCAAAGAAACTATTGGATTGTAGTTTTAAAATCCAAAAGCTTTTACTGGAAATAGGAACCAGTCCTGGCTTGTCAATGCAGTTCTATTTGAACAACAACAACACACAGCAATGCACATGACCTTTAACCATTCTGCACTTTACTGTCTCTTTACCTTTGTGTTTTTTCTTTACCTCCATAATGTTCTCATTCTGTCTGTCACCATCACATGCCTCACTCACAGTTAGAAAGTGAAGGCGGAAGGGAAGCAAAATCAAAAGCAGATCTTTCTGTGAACCATAGCTCTTCCATGGAGTGTGTCTCTGTCTTTCCCCCATTTTTATGCAAGGCTGAGGAGCACGGGGAACCCAGCCCATAATTAGGCAGTGACCCACTTTTCTTATCTTTTCCTCTGGAAGAAGTGCAAGCTCAGGAAACAGACATACTTCCCCAGTTTCTACGTTCACCATTGTGCTCTGATGACAGCTGATGCGTAACAGTAACATTATGCCTGTAATAGATTTTAATGAGTCAATAAACCTCTCTGCACTGGGTTGGGTTGACAAAGTAATCCTATATACAACTAGCATTTCATGTCGATGATCTTTATTTGCATGATGTTGGTTAGAAAGAAAGATTTTTATTTTCTTGCAGAGCTATTTAAGAGAGTGAACAGTCCTGCTGTGCAATTACCTCAGAATTGCTGCCCTCACCTAAACTGCAGGTGGGCAACTGTAATGCTGCATGATGGACAGAAATGGTTTATCTTTCCAGATAATGTAAATGGCCTTTCAGTGGGATTTAAAAGTGCAAAGTCATTACAAAGAGTGTCATGACAACGGCAGCTTTTCATTTACACAGAACCAAAGCTTATTTGAAACTTTAACAATACTCTTTTACTGCCTTGCAAGTACTAGAAATGAATACTGTACATATACACTACCATTTAAAAGTTTGGGGAGAGTAAAAAGTCTCTTATTCTCACCAAGGCTGCAATTATTATTATTTTTTTTTTTTTAAAGAGTAATATTGTAAAATATTATTACATTTTGAAACTGTTTTCTATTTTAGCTATCTTCAGATTTGTTTTTTTAATAATTCTAATATGCTGATTTGGTGCTCAAGAAAAATTCCTTATTATCAATGTTGTATTTAAAAGTGCACTATGTAGAGTTTAGTATAGTAGCATTATAAAGGGTTATTTCACCCAGAAATAAAAAATCTGTCATCATTTATTCACCCTCATGTCATTCCAAACCCGTAAGACTTTCGTTCATCTTCGGAACACAAATGAAGTTCTTTTTGATTAAATCTGAGAGCTTTCTGTTCCTCCATTGACAACTACATACCGTAACTTGACACTTTGACGCTTCAAAAAGTTCATAAAGAGATTATAAAACTAATCCATATGAATTGAGCGATTTATTCCAAATCACGATTTGTCTAAATTAAATCTGTTCATCATATAAAGTGATCGTGTCTTCTGACTAATTTGGACTAAACCGCTAAATTAATAAGGATTAGTTTTACGATCTCTTTGTGAACTTTTTGAAGCATTAAAGTGTCAGTTGATTACCTGTCAATGGAGGGACACAAATCTCTCAGATTTAATCAAAAAGACCTTCATTTGTGTTCCAAAGATGAACGAAAGTCTTACGGGTTTGGAACAACATGAGTGTAAGTAATTAATGACATAATTTTCATTTTTGAGTGAACTATCCCTTTAAAAATAAAGTCTATTTTCTTATTTTCTGCTTGAGTTGCTGTGCTCGTGAGCTGGGCTGCAGCCTTTGGTCAGTGCATGTGTCGCTCCAGCGGATTACGGGTCGCAGTGCATGTGAGAGGGGACTTTATCACCCATGTTCTCCTGTCTATTGCTTTATTGACTGTATCTGTAACTCGGCAGATTACTAGGCACTGTTATGTTTTAATGATAACACATAATTATTTATTATTTTGCCTGGTGTTCCACCCACGAGGAGGGGCCAAGTCTGAATGTTGTGTTTACAAACAGTAAAAGAAAAATTCTGCATAGTGTCCCTTTATTATATATAAAAAAAAGATTCAACTAGTCATTTGATGTACAACTATTGACCACTGCGATATATCTCTTTTAGAGGACATCGTTGCCTCTAGCTGCCTCTGACTGAGTGTAGACGGATGGATTATACTTCATGTAATGGCCAGGCATAATGTTCTCTTCTCTCTTCATCTTTTCTATGTCACCATTATATTCTCCAGAGATATGCGGACTTTGGCACATAAACCAGTCCAGTTGCAGTGAGAATGTAGATGGGAAAGGCATTGGGCTACAGCAATGCTGCTTGATGGACAGAAATGGTTTATCTTTATAGACAACATAAATTGTCTTTAAGAGTGGAAATTTAATTTGGTGACGAGGAAATCAAATAGACAATGTTCCTCTGTCTTGAGAGCTGGGTAAGGGGTTTGGGGATGTGGAAATGGACCAAGAGGTGAAGTTTTAGTTAATGTGTGTAGGAAGGCAAGAGCCTGCAGGGACTGGACACTGTCACAGATCTCGCTACTTCCTATGAAACTGAGGCAATTAGCACTTTTCACAACCAATGGCCCCGGCACATCTTAGCACCTCCTTACAAACACGTCTCTTCCCATCTCTCATCTCCCAGTGCATTTCGGGGAGAACTGGGGTACATGTTGCCATGGTAACCAAAAGAACAGGAGCAGACTTTCTGAGGGATCTGAGATGTCTTAATACGCGTACATGCGCTTGCCCTTATTTTTTTCTCTTTCATTCTGTTTTTCTCTTT